AATTAGATACGTAAAAACTCAAAAAAATTAAAATTTCTATAAAAAGCTCAAATGTTTTTGCAATTTATTACTACAAGGCAAATTTAAGTTTACTGTCTAAATTTCAAGTCTCAATGAAGATTTTGAATTAAATTACAGCAAAAAAACAAAACTGAAGATAAGAAAAGCATTATTTTTTTACATTTTCCCGTTTTTACCATCTAGATCAAATTCCTTTTGAGAAAAGGTGCTACACTTAATACATCGTGGCAAGATTTCTGTTAGAATTTTCATAAAAATAACCATCATTATAAAATCAATACATTCATCACTTCGTTAAAAATCTAAAATTGTATAGATAGATGAAGTATTAGGTAGTTAAAAAAAAATCGGTGTTGAAATTTATTTTAACTAATATTCCGATTATTTATAGAAATTAAAACATAAGTTGCCACATGAAAATCAAAAATAGATAGTGGTTTTACTCTAAAAATAAGGGTAAAAAAAAAAGAATTAATGTAAAATAGAGCTACTAGTTTCTTAAATGTTCTATAAAACAAATGCCGACAAAAAGTAATTACTTTTACGAGATAATGAGTGTATCCACTCAATTGGATTACTTTGTATGCTTAAAACTCGTATCCCTCCCTCCCTCCAATATTTAATATAAAGCTATAATATATTATATATAACGCCGTTTGTATATGATAAATAATAATTACCTACCGTGTTTTATATGATACGTAATAATTATAACGAAGTTTGCCCAAGTTTCTATTATAACTTACTGGGGCGTTAAATAATATTATATTATAATACTTTGTAGTCGGTATATGATATGATAAATAATAATTATCAGATTTCCGTAATAATAATTAATATTATACGTAAAGGTATAAGTGTTTTATTCAGTTTCAATCTTGTTCAATAATAATTACTGTTATCGTAATAATATCTATAACAGGTGTTTTCATTTAGAGCGATGATTTGGTTTGCCTGTGATTCCGTAATTTTCGGTCATATAATAAAAGTACCCGCAAGTGTCATTAGTTAATAGAAAGATCATTCCGATTTCGTTCTTAGATCCTAGGAATTTTAGTCTATTGTATACGAGTATATCGTAGTTAGTGGGAATATATTATAGTTTGGATAGTAAAATTTGGAACAGCTTGTTCGAATCGATGTAATTCAACATTGTAGTTATTAATAACATCAATTTTGTTTGTTTTCATTTGTTCAATAGTAACACGGGCATTTTAAATATGAAATTTGTATTAGTAGTATAGTCGTATACTATTGAACTAGCATAATCTCCAGTATTTCGTGAAGATATCATATAAAAGTACAATATTTTCCAAACGAAACACCACATACTACTGAATTTCGTCAGTTAAAAATATATCCTTTCAGATAAAATAAAAAATAAAACACGCGTTTCTCAGAAATCTGAGTGAAAAGATTTACCCAAAAGGCCAAAACACAGTTTTAATGAAACTAAATTTCAACAGAAGTCGAGAAAAGAAAAACAATCGCTTGACACCGGAAGCACTTTCCCGTTTTTTTAATTGCATCTCGTATACAAATAGTGTATTCTAATAAACGTGCTGTGTAGATTTTAATTCTGGTCTGTTTCAGATTTCTTCTATCTGAATTTTTAATTTATTTTAATGTTTCAAAATTTGGAATGGAAACAACTTTCTAACCATATAGTTATATTAATTATGATTTTTTAACCTCGACGAACTTATTTTACTATCAGGAGCAAACATAAAAATAGTCCATGCGTTTTACAAAAATGTATATTAAAGTCCAACTAGCAATCACCTATAAAACTCCGGCGGAAACTGCTTCAAATAAATGTTCTCTTGACATTTGTTTTCCAATCTTATTTCTTTAATTTAGTTTTATTTTTTGATTCGATCAAAGAAAAACTAAAAATGTTAATGATGAAATCCAACACCTGTAATAATTTGATAGGATGTTTGAGCGATTATAGGTTTTTTTTTTCTATTTGGGCTATTGCTGAGCTAATACAATATATTTATATTAACTGAAGAACGGAATGGTTCATTAAATACAATTTAAAAAAAAAGTTTTCACCAGATGAATACATTGTTATTATATTATATTAATTTTTTTTCCGATCTGTAGTTGATAGGTATTTAAGTTGATGCAAGATAAACTGATAACAGGGAAATTTAAAAAAAGGTTATTAAATATCTTTGTGATTGATATGTATACATTTATTATATTAAAAGAAGAAAATCCTTTTGAATATAAAATAACGATTTAAAAAAAAAGTGAAAATGTATAAACTTGAAATATTATTAATAATTAGTAGGTACATGAAATTAATTATTATAGAATATATTATATTTAAAAAAATATTGTTAATTATAAAAATAATATTTTACGCTTTATAGTTTATCCTATAATAGGTAGGAACTAACGGCTTTGCATTATTATTTTCTATCCTATATGAAAATATTTATTTATGTTAATTTTAATATGAAGATTATTAATATGAACCGTTATAAATTTAATTTTTACTTTATTAATTCGACGCACTATCGTTTAAACTTTAAGTCTCAGTTTCCTTTCTCCTCCCCGTTAAAACGGAGAGACGATCACGGGTCCTCGAAGATCACTTAAGGTTAAGCCAAGACGAATTAGCTCTCGAACCATTTTCGAGGTGTTTGCTAAAAAAGTGCAGTTTGTGACTTATATATTTAGATTTATGATTATAGGCTCATAAATTTACATCCAATTTACTTCTATTCACTTTCATTCGTAATATCAGTATAAAATATGTGTCGGTTTTAGTTTGAGTTTACTTAAATAGACGATCTCCTAGAATATCTATTCTATTTTGGGTGTTATGATGGAACATAACTTTTTATCGGTGGGAAAGTCAAACGTAATGTCTCTGGCGATTTCATTGTTTTGAATTGGAAATGGTTAAGTGGGTCCGTTGAATTAACGCTGTCATAATGCTTAGATATCGAAAAATGTAATTATATTTTGTCTTCGTAAAGCTACAAATAACCGAATATTTTATCAACTATTGGAAAAATCACTGCTCTACTATAACTGACGACCAGGGGCATTTCAGATAAGACTAGAACGAATCGCAGAAAATTTCATCCACTACATGTATATTTCCGGTCCTTTAAAAAAGCTCAACGAGCAGATAGATCAAACTTTCTCGTCAAATTTTAGACTTTCTTCAGTTACACCTACTTCCATCAGTAGGATTATTTCCTATCTTTCTACTATATAAAAATGGACGTTCGTTCATTGGTGATCTATACACTCAAAAACTACCGAACCAATTGATACCACTTTTCGTACACATTTTCATCGTAACTTGAGGAAGGTCTGTAGCTTCGTTTTTTAACCTATAATGTTAGCTCTGTAGGGTGGCTTACACATGCATTTCCTTTCAGTTCACGAAAATAGACTAGTATTTTGCTTATGTTTAGGGTTTCCATTGGATAATGAAATATTTATGTTAAAATATAAATTATTTTTTATAAAATGTGAAATTGAGTGTTCTCGGTAAAGGAAAATCTCAGAAATCACTGGACCGTTTAATACTGTGTATGGGAAAAGTCATGCGAAACGAGTTGGCTTAACTACTTATTCAATCGTCATGCAGTTTTTTTAAATTTTTAGGACATCATATAGAAGATTTTAGGCATAAATTTAGTCTGATAAAGTTAGTAAATTATTTAGTTGTTAATTAAAATAAATGTGTACATTATATACCAAGTACCTTAGTAACACGGATAAAATGAAAAAAAGACGTTCTAGGATAATGGGGACGGGTGTAGCCATATAGGTAATTTAATGTATACTTGTAAGCAATGATAAACTATTGCTTATGAAAAAACGATTCTGAGCGGAGTTCAGTTGATAGTGATGCTTTGTTAAAAATATGCATGTCATATTATAGTAAAATAATTAAATAAGCATTATATATTTTCTATCTCTTTAAGTACCTATCAAGTGAAATTTCCTTTTAGAAAAATTGATACGATTAAAAGTTGGAGCGAAATTGATGGTAGAAAAGTTGTCCATAGAAAAAAAAATTGTAATATTATACAAATATATTTCAAACATTTTCTCGTTTTTTTTTTCGGTTTTTCGTATTTAATGAGAAAACTCTAGAGAAAATTGAAAAATTACATTTTTAAGGTACCACTCAGCACCGATTTCCTTTCAGAAAAGTAATTACTCAGTTAGCAAAGTTGTCCACAGAAAAAGAAAAATAATCATCTTTGTAAAACTATAAGCTTTTTCACTCCATTCAGAATTAAAAAAAAAAAAACAAAACTATGTAATGGGTTGATATCTACGGTATCTATAGTTTCTTTCCAATTATAATTTCTTTCCTATATGGACTATCTTCATTATCTATGTCATTATCATACAGTTTACGACGTCTAGAATGAATTACGTTTTCGATATAATACAATTTTTGTTCGTTGTTGTGAACAGCCGCGTTTTTTTTTCTTTTCTCGGTTATTTTTTTTATTTATTGCATAATGCTCACGAAGAGGAAATCAAATTTTGATCGTTCTACAATTAGTGCCAAGAAGCATCCAGCTTATATAGGAACAATCATTCACAAACGCACGATCAAAATAGAGTTGAAGATGAAAATAACGGTGATAACAATATTAACAACAATAACGATGAAAAATAATAAAATGTCCGCCTTCAATTATAATAAATCTATTGATTATAGAAATGTTTCGATAAGAAATATGAATTTAAAGTACAACTTTTGTCATGCATTGAAATAGCCTAAAGAACCACCGGGTCTCTGTTGTTCAGGAGGAAAAGTTTTATTGAGCATTTATTGCACGGGCAAAGCCGGGCGGGACAGCTAGTATATTTATATACATTCTTTTTATTATAGCAAATTCGCTCACTAATTTTAAACAATACATTGCCAAATTAGCTATATTTCTGCTGTATGAAAAAGCTTACGAATCTTTACTGTTTTTATCATCCGTCTAAACAGTTAAAAATTGTTTATCTTTATCTTTTGTCGATCTTAAACCTTTGTCTGACCCTATGATCAACAAAATCTTTTCAGACTTTATGAATTTAAATTTTGAAGAATTCATCCTTGTGGTTTATACCGATGGTTCTGTCTCACAGCTTTTTTCTGACTATTTGTTTTACATTCTTGAATTTGAAATCTCGTTTTCCAATAATCTACCCCCATCACCTTCCTTCTTCTCAACCGAATGTTACGCTATCAACGAGGCGCTGATACTTATTTCAAATCTCACTCCTAATAATTATTAAATAGCCTCAGATTCTATATCTGTTCTGCTTTCCTTCAACTCTAATCTTTTCAACTCCCATCTATCTTATCTGGTTATCGCATTAAACTAATAATCTTCAGACACTATCATTCAAATTACAATATTAATTTTTTTTGGGCTCCTAGTCACATGGGTATACACGGCAATGAAATAGCCGACTCTTGTCAAATCTTCGCCCAATTTAATCTATTTCTCACTTACTTAACTTCCTCATTCCAATTTTATTTTTATCATACGACGTCACACAACTAAACTCTGGACCTCTTACTGGATCAACCTTTCTGTCGATTTCACCTTTAGTTACAAAAATATTGTTCGAAATCTTAAATAAACCTTGGTTCCATCTAGATCTGCTATCGTCCGTTTTAACTGTCTTCGTATCGGTTACATTTTGCTACCCTCTCATGTCTACAAACTAGATCTAAACGATTCTTCACTCTGTACCTTTTAACTCACTGAAACCACCGATATTCTCTTTAACTACTCTTCTCTTCACTTACTACGTGCTACTCAATTCCCTTACATTTTTTGATACCCCCCTCAATTTCTTTTCCCTTCTCAATACTAATTCCAAGGAAGTTATCTATATAATTATTTCTTTCATCTTGGGGTCTGGTTTTTCTATTTAGTTTAAGGTAATTTTTTGTTTCAAAATTTTAGTTTTCTGTTTATTTAATTATTATATTTTTAGTTAATCCCATTAAATATATTATAATCGTTGAGTTGCCATAGATTTATTAAAAGCTAAAAAAATAAATATAGATACGATACCTATACGAATGTAGTAAAGACTCGCGGTTATTTTTGTATTTTTGTAGTTCAATATGGATTATTGGATTATAACCATGTATTAGATTTATTATTTGAATGGTGCAAAAGTAAAATAATCCAACATTTTTTTTAGTCACCCTAATAACCCATAATTACCAAGAGAATTATTCTCAGTGACGTATTTGGGGGGGGGGGCTAGAGAATGCGATTACCCCGGGTGGCATTTTTATAGGGGTGGCATCAGATGTTTACAAAACTCATCTTTTGTTGATGAAAATGAAAAATAATATAAATTGGTTAATATTCTAAGATTGTAACACCTGATATCACAGCTATACACAAGATTTGAAGGATTTTAAGACATGCACCCGTACGTAAATATTGCTCTAAGAATGAATCTATGTTATTCCGTGTCAAACTACCCTTCAGAGCGATCGTTTAGTGCACTTAAATGAATTAAAAGTTATTTGCGGTCGAAGATGACTGATGGACGACTAAACAGTATCGCCATATTAAACATCGAATTAGACATTATAAAATGTTTAGAGTGTGGGGGATGGGTGGAAAAAAATTAGCACCTGGGCGCTAAATTTCTGGATACGTCTCTGACTATTCTCACACATTTCCTATTCAGAAGTCTCGTCTACTTATTCGAAGAATTTCTTTTGAACTTCCCTCCCCCCCAAAAAAAGCCACAGCGCTGTTTACTAATTACAATTGGACATTATTGATGGTAATCATTGATGATGATACTACTTATCACCACTCCTTCCACGATTTACCTATTATACAAAATATAATGATCTCCAGTTTAATGTTTATGGTGTATGTCCATTTAAAATTTGTTTAAAATTGTTTTCATAAACATCCATATAAATACGCAACTATTCTATTACTGAACTAATGTTAAACGCTGTTTTGGTCATATTGGAATATCTCTAACCCAGTATCGAAATCTATACTATGGTGACAATCTAAAATATAGGTACTCGGCAAAATTAAAATCAGGTTATATATACATTTTTTTATTTATTTATTGTGTTTTGTAAAAAAAAAAATGAATGGATGACTAACTTCGCGATTCGTTGTCAGCTTATACACCGCGGTTTAGATGGTTGTTATAGGTGGTATGCCGAAGGGTAGCGAAGGTGACTTTTTGGCACGCGGTCGGGTCGGATGTTATAATTCACATACGGTCACGACGGTATTTCGACGATTCACGAATGACCGTGGTCAGGGTTATGGATAGTCTCGGTTCTCAGCTCGTAGAATATGGCATATTATTATCAAGGCTCCGGACTTAATGCGCCAAAATGTACTCAAATATTTGCATACATATGCGTTAAAAAACATCATAATATGCGGTATAATATGCAGTAAAAATGTATTGAATATATTGAATAAAAAATAAATGTTACATACAAAATTTAAAAATTAAAATTAGTTACATAAGAAAATAAAATTAAAAAAAAAAATAAACTTTTTGCACACTTGAGTGTATTGCTGTCTTTCTGTTTATACTTTCATGTGTATACCTTCATAAAACTTTAATCTCCTTGATTTACTATTAAAAAAAGTAGAATCAATAAAAAGGTTATTTTATTTTTTACCCGTGTTATAAATCATTTGCGGTAAGATCTTCAGGTAGACTATCCATGGACTATCCATGTTGTCATTTTCTCTACTTATTATTTTTGATATCTGTTTTAGTATTTTTAATCCGTTGTTTTTGTTTAAAACCGTTTCAAATTTCTTATATACTTTTTGTTCATCATTACCTTGAGCTTTTTGTAACTGAACTTGAACTTTTTCCAGAATATCTAAAGATTCAGCTAAAGCCATGTTTTTTTTTTTTATAATTTTAAAATTGAATCTGAAAGTACTTTAAAATTTGATTTTATGTATACCAGATTACTTTCGACATATTTGTTTACCAAATTTTTTTTTGCTATTTAAAAATAAGGTCTTAAGGGTCTTCTAAGTCTAACATTTCCACAATTTCACATGTTTATTTGTAATATTTGCAGTGATAAATGCTAGCATTTAGCTACGTACCCCAGCGTGTGATAACTGGCTCTAGTGGAACGGGTATATTCGGGGCATGTGTCTTGAATATCTGAACAGGCGATGGTGCTTTTTTAAAAATTTGTTAACATTCGATATAATTTTATCGATCGTGCTAAATTGTTCACGTACCTCTTCAGAAGTCCTATGGAGACCATGCGCAGCGCATGTCACGTGAATCATTTTTTGAATACAATGCATTTTATGATTTCCCACAATTAACCATATAGGGAACCGTATTCGATAGAAATAATAACATGTCATCGTGTTTGATTCCGTCAAGCTACAAAATACTGAGTGATTTGTCAAAACATTTGCATACGGTAGAGCGGTTTGATTTTTCTAATGCGTCGGTATTTAATAAAAATATATCACCAGTTTCTATTATGGCATTTGCAATTTGTCTTCCCTTAGCATCAATTGTTTCATCGATGTATATCCATTTTTTTTTTAAAAACACACGTTGTCTAATGTTTTTCATCATTTTTTTTTAATAACCATCAAGGACTTTCTAAGTGTCAATTCAGTGAGGACTTCTTTTTGAGTATATAATTGTAAAAATTGACGAAACTCTGTATTTTGTAATTTGTTTAGCGATATATTAGCTGATATCAAAGCTCTGCATAAATCTATATTGAAAGTCGATTATTTCGACGTTAGATTTGTTAATAATTGTTGGCTGTTTTTTGATTAAGTTTACGTTCTATAAAACGATGATGTTTCTCTGTTTTTATGTACTGTGTAATATTAGATCGTCTTACGGGATCAACTTTCACTTTGGAAAGTTTACAAAATAGAGCAACATTATCAATGGAAAACACATCTTTACCGAACTCAGAAATTAATAATTTAAGGTGTCGAGATAATGATTGCTTATCTTTAGGCATCGTAAAATCAGAAACATTAAATAAAATAGTCACTGTGACACGCGACGTGCGAAATACTGACAACTGACTAATGTGCACTACACTACAATGTACAGTGAAGTCGCTTGCAAGCCGACGCACGCAGTATTACAACGAACAGAAATACGAGTAATATTGTATATAAATACTGATAACGACCTAATGGTTAAACATAATTGTTTACGAATTACCTAAGATTATACAATTTATTTATATCACGGTACAAAATATATTAATGCCATGGTAAAATTGGATAAAAAAAAATACGGGCCGGTCAGCAGCCACTATTACGAGTTCTCAGTACTAGAGATTATAAATAATAATAGTATTGTTAAATGTATTGGGAGCAATACAAAAATAGCCATTGACGTGTTTTTTGATGAATTTATTTTGTCAAATATCTAATATTTTTTGTTTAACTATAAATTCGTAAAAAAAAAAAAAAAAAAATTGTTTTCGTTAAATCTATGAAATATGCATATAAAAGTTCTAAAACCTAAAATGTGCTAATTCGTACAAAAAATAATGAAAAATTATGCAACAAAACATTTTGTATTTGAAATACACGTTCTATGGATCAAATTTGTATCGAATCAGAAGTTCAATATGCACTTTATAAACAAATATGCAAATTCTTAAAGTTCCGAGCCTTGGTTATTATGTTATAACTTTGCATACTTCGTTCTTTTTTCCTTTTTGACGAATTTTTCCCTAAAATCTGTATCTTTTTCCCGCCACTTTAAAGCGCTTTCATTAGCGGTTTCATTTGAGCTGCTTCTTTTCTCCGAACTCGGAAATTAGATTCGTTTTTTATAGGCGGGGATCGAAGTGATAAAAGTTGTTTTTAATTTCAACACGAATTTCAGTCTGTTGTTGCAGGATAGATGTGTTTTTAAGGTTTTGAACACCCTTACAGACCCTCACTTTAAATGAAGCTAAGGGAATTAAATTTTATATTATAAATATAGAGTGTTTATATTGCAAAGGGTGTGCTTTTTGAGCGTTGCAATCCTTACAACTGTTACTCACCATTTTTATCGATTTTTTTTATTTTAGGGGTAGTTTAGTAAAGTTGTAGTAAAATAGTATCTAGTCACTAAATACTGGATTTTAGTGTATATAATACAATGTTGTATTATTATAATATTCGGTGTTAATTGTTTACTACGTGATATTTATTCAGTAAGTACATCTGTGAATAAAATTGTTTGGCCAAAACAGAAATGCTTGAAATTTAATAGGAAGTTCATTAAAATTCGTACTCTATAATCAGAAGTAAAAAAAAATAAGTGTAATACAGAATTTTGTTTTTTAAAGAACTTCAATATCGAATGTTGACGAAAATCGTACATATTACGGTCTTCCAACATGATATGTACAACCAAACTCCGCTCAGAATCGTTTTTTGTTAGCAAAGATTAACCGTTGCGTGTACAGATATATTATGTACATTAAATTGCCCTCAATATCCCACCTTCCCAACTTCTCACCTACAGCAGTGGCTCACACGTCGTGCGAAGTATGCCCGTATTTTTGTTTTTGTTTGTTTGACATTTTTCGGCCGTTCAAATCCGGGCCCTATATAATAATAATTAATACGTTTCGTATATACTTTTGTCGTCTCACTTGACGCCATTTTTCTCGCTACTATACCTGTACCTGTATACACCATTGTAATATAAATATCGCGTCGTGGGAAAAAAAGGCTTATTAAAAACGGCTGATTATTATTATTAGTCGTCGTTGTCGTCGTCGTTTGCGCGCGACCCGTTTCGCCGCGGCAAAGCGTTCGCACGAGTTACCGCGTGTATCATATTATAATAATATTATAATCGCACCGAAACGCATCAGTTTAACGACGAATTCGTACGAGATTAATCGTCGCCCGTTTATTCACTAAATACATAAAATATATATATACGCGTGTAGTACTGCTATAATAACTATATATACGATAAAATATAAACTTTATAAATGTCTCTCGGCAAACGTTATTTATTTATGAACGGTTTTAAAGAGTATTAGGGGGCGAACGTAGCTTATATTACAGTCGTCCCTCGGTTTGAACAACACCTCATTTACACGATCCGTTTTTTATTCGATCCGCGGCGGCGTCTATTACTGTTCGTCAATTCCATTTGGCACGTCAGAATACGTTATTAGTACAGACACATAGTGGCACAATCAACTTATAAGCCCCAAGGAGGGGGGCAGCTTAAGCTATTTTGCCCTTAAGCTCCACTATTGTAATAAATAAATGCGACTGAAGGCGATCTGCCTCTTGCACTGAGGGGGCTTTGGAGGATCCGAGGGTAAGTTCACAGACTCTCTTAATCGCGCCATTCCGTGTAGATATAAGAATAATACATATAATAGTTATTTTATAGTGTGAGATTTCTTTTTTTTTTTCTTTAATAGAAATCGCCATTATCGTATTAATATTTAAAATGTATTGATAAAAATCTTTGATCGTTATAATAAAAGTTTTTGGGTAGTTTAAAATAAAAATGTAAAAAATATGCAGTTCCAAAATGTTACATAACCATTATTTTGTGGCACTCTTATTTTTGTGGGTAAAACAACAATGCACTTTTAGGCACGGACTGATAAAAAAGGCCAAGGGATGCTACATAATTTTAGGCAAATATTACAAATTGTCGGGGCAAATTAAAATAATAGAACAAATTAAAAAAAAAACTGACTGCACAATAGGTGGTTTACTTTTGTACGTTAGAAACGTAAAATATATATAAGATAATTTAGTTTTTGTTTGTACATAATGACAAATCAGTACAAACGAAAACCGTCTCTGAACAAGTTCGGTTTAAAATGTTTCGACAAATTTAAATTGAAAATAGTATAATATTATTTTATAACCAAAAAATAAATTAAAACTGTTTGTGTTCTACCGAATTATTTATCATAAAATATTAATATAAATACAAGTACAATGCAAAATTTTTTGTTATTCTCACAAAAATAAAAAATATCGAAAATATCAAATAGTAACGAATTATTTTGAAAGTAACATGTCGTCGTCTAAAAAATATAAATTATTTAATGCAAAATAATCAATAACACATTGAACTGTTGTAAACAAATTATTTATACCATACCTATTTATTATAGATCTAATACATTTGACTTAAGAATTACAAGAATTATAAGTTTCTTATTAAAAATTCATACCAATTGGGGAAAATATATTTTTGGGGCATGGGATGCTGTAGTATTCCAGCACTCCAGTCAGTCTCCTCGCCTGTGTACTTAAGATTTTTAAATGGAAAAAAAAGCTGATACTGGGGATAGGCCACTGTTGTGGGCGAGAAGTTAGGAAGGTAGGATACATAAGGTTATTTCATTTATATCTGTAAGCAATGATAAACTATAGCTTTACGAAAGACATTCCGAGCGTATTTTTTTTTGCGAATTTCGTTTAAATTTGATTTTAAAATACTTATTAAAAATAAAAAAAATTGTCCGATGATTTTGGAAATTTTACCATGTATAGATAAGTCTAATATAAATATTATTACCATGTTTCAAGTCTCTAAGTGTATTTATACCCGAATTACCGAAAACGGAAACAAAAATAATGTCTTTCGATTAAACCATTTTTTTTTGGTAGAAAACGTCGTCCGTGTTTTTATAAAATAATGAAATCGTGAAATTGTACGTTTTCCTACGTTTTTTTTCCACTTAAATACTTTTATTTTAAAAATGGTGTCGGAAATCAAAAAAAAGTTACCATCTAGATAACCTGAGCTTTCAGAAATGTTGCTACACGTAAAAATTGGAGCAAGTTTACTAGAAAAAAACGTGTCCACAGACTAGAAGAAAAAAAAAATAAACATCTTAGTAAAACCAATAGCTACGCTCGGAATCTAAAAGACGTCTTAGGATAATGGGGATAAGTGCAGCCACTGTAATAGGTAATTTAATGTATACCTGTTAGCGACGATAAATCATTGCTAACGAATAAATGATTCTGAGCGGAGTTTGGTTGATACTTTGTCAACAATATATGTGTCATATTATAGTAAAATAATTAAATAGGCTTTATATATATTCTTGAATAATATTTTTTAATATTGTACCGATTTTCTTACATTTTTCCTATGTTTTCCTTGGTTTTTCATATTTGTTGGGAAAACTTTTGGAAAATCAAAAAATTACCTCTTTAAAGTACTTCTCTACACCGATTTCCATTTAGAAAAGGTGCTACACTTAATAATCGGAGCAAGATTTTAAGTAGAAAAGTTGCACACAGTTAAAAAAAAAAATAAACATCTTTGTAAAACCATGAGCTTCTTCGCTATACACGATAAAGGAATCACTCTGTTATATAATGAGTTGAGATTGAACTCGAACAATTTCTTTAAACACTTTTCTTTGGATATACATTTTTACATTTGAGAAAGAAAGCTGGAACATCGAGCGAACATTTTAGGGGAAGAGCCTCAACTTCATTAAACAAATATTATTTGTTTGTATCCGGTGGAAAAAAAACACACAGAATATTTTAATAAAATAATTGAAATTCAATTATATAACTTAAATGTAACTCATATACCTAGATATTTATTTTGAGAAATTTTAACATTTTTATGGGGGGCTTAATTTGTTTGAAAATATTTGTATTATAGCAGGTGACAGGAAAACGTGTGCTTAGTTTCAGCGCAACATATACTGCGCATCGCTGTTGCGCACCGGTTACCTTCGATGGTGGCAATCGCCACGAGGTGCGCTGTAGTCAATCGCATATTTTTGAAACACGTACTGAACCGCACTAAACAGTTAGTAGTGTTTGTCGAACAGCCGTTACGATATGTTCTCGCGTGTGTGCCCATAAAATATTATTATTTATTAAAGTTAGTGTTTTCAATTGTTTTTTCGTGTTCATCTGAGTTTACATTTTACTTTTTTTCGTTTTACATTAAATTATTAGAGTATCGAAAATCGTTTGAAAAAACAAGACTTCA